GAAAGTGCTCTTCTGAAATGTCCCTACAATTCAGTTGGGATGTTGGTGGCCAACAACTTTAGCAGTGGAACAATAGAGGCCGCAGAAAAGTCACCGTACAACATCATTCTCGCTACTAATGAGGATGATGTGCTTGAGAAACTCGATCGATATTTCTCAGCACACCCGCATGATTCATCACCGCAGGTTGACATGTTGCTCGACCTGCTGATGAATCATATACAACACCTCGAGTTTCGACTAGAAACTACGAGGCAGGATTTAGAATTAGAAGAAAAAAAGAGGGAGGCCTTCGATCTTCAACAAGAGAGAAGGCTCTCCTATATTTACTATATGCTTGTAATAATTTCGATATGTATTTTATAGTTGTTGCTACATATACACAGTTTTCCCATCGACATGACCGAACTTGACACAAAGGCACGAAATATTGTATGTATGCAACCTTTTTTATTGTATTTTCAAAATATAGTATTCCTGATTTAACATACATACATAAGCGAGGGAGAATTTAGATAGGGAACAAAGAAAGAGGAGGCCTTCGAACTTCAACAAGAGAGTAGTCTTTCCCATATTTTTTATATATTTTTAATATGTATTTTTATAGCGTTGCTATATATATATATGTATGCAACCTTTTTTATCGCATTTTCAAAATATAGTATTCCTGATTTACAACGAAAATTTTCGAATCAAATGCTTCTTATTAAATAATAGCAATGCTCTGCAGATGCTTCTACCATGGCTACTCGAATAAAACATACAGCTGCTTTATACAAGTTTGTTTGATATGTGAAGTGAATAATAATACATACAAAATTTGCAATTACGAAAAAGAAAAGTAAGACAAAGGATGGTAAGTATGTAATATTTTTTCAAACCAAACACAGGCACAAATACAATTTCTGCTCCAAGTGCCATAGCAAATTTGTATGACTAGCAAAGACACCATTTTCCCACTCGCATGATAATGATAACAACTCAACTGTAGTGACATCAATTGCATCTTCCAATTAAGTTTGCATCCAGTAGTCAGACTTTAGAGTTAAACTTAGTATTTATTCTTTCCATCGCCGCTTATCTTTATTTGTTTGCCTATATTATCATATGTCGCCTATTTTCGAGTAATGCCACAATACTTTAAAGATCGCCACAGAGTCAGTATGGAAACTTTCTCCCCCATTCTTCCTTCCATCTCAGATAATAATTCATCGAAATACCATCAACTTCTCAACCACCAATGACAGAAAAGCACTTACTCCATGTCGTTGGAATCCTAACGATAGAATAGTCGCGAAACTCTGGATACGGTGACTCAGTTGACTTATAAATCTTCCACATTGGAACGAAGTAAATTATTCTCCATCGTAAGTCTTTGTTAATATTTCTGACCATATTATATGCTATAAAGCTGATATGTAACAGGCAACAGAAACAGTAGTCGTCAGTAACTGTTGAGTAATCGCCAGTAATCGTGCAGTTATTCTTGCATTATGCGCATGAATGAAAAAAATACACGCAGTGGTTATACTAACTCGAAAATCGAAATTCACAAAGATATTAGCAATAAAAACGTCCAGCTAGCCTCGACTACTTGAAAAAAAAATTACTTGTCGTATACACCACAATTTTGCACCGAGAAGCCAATATCCGATAACAAGCCATCTCATATTTATTTATCAACTGTGGAAAAAAAGAGGAGCAACAGACACGACAGCCGTGTTAACATTAATTATTGAGTATAGTACAACACATATTATAGTACAACACATATTATAGTCATCTGTTACCATAATGATAGTGATGTTAATATATTTCTGTAAACTCTTACATTTTTTCACATAACTCGGAACACGGTTGGCTGGATATCAATGTTTACGCATATTTAATAATAATAACTAATGTGCACGTTTCAATGGTTTGTATGCAGTCAACTCTCTATAAGTCACACTATTTTGGTACATAAAATGGCGTCTATAGACAGTTGTGACTATAAATAGAAAAAATTCCTTATTTTGGTATTAAGAAATTGGCACTGGGGTTGACTGTATTGTGGAAACAAAAGTCTTCGCATATTCTGAAGATGCAAATAATTTCGTCAGTCTTTTGATTATTTTCTATATGAAGCTCTTATGTCCCGATTTACATAAGTAATAAATTGAAAAGCAACTACACAGTCAACTTTGATAAGTCAAACCCGGCCAAATGGCTTCATCTTCTTTTCTCACTATTTAAAAATATTTGATAAGTTGACCGATCTATTATAAGTTGACCAAACCGCTGTGTTACAGCTAATAGTTTGGCCATAATAATAAGTCTATAATTAACATCATACTATAGTCTATTACGACATTTCATGCATCAGAATTACAGTCAAACCCCGTTATGCCGATATTTTTGTTATGCCGATATTTTTGTTATGCCGATATTTTTGTTATGCCGATATTTTTGTTATGCCGATATTTTTGTTATGCCG